TTATTCACATTTTCTTTATAAAAAAGATTGTTTCTTCTTAGTAGTCAATCATTTAAGTCTCCTTTACTGAATTTAATAAAAAGATTTGAGGGGAAGAGTTAGTGTTTTATGTCTGGATAGGAAAGTAGTATTTTGGAGGGAAATGTTAAGAAGAAGAATTACTGAGTTAAGTCATGTTTATGATTATTTAATTGCCAAGATGTGTGCATTTGCAAGTTGGACTAGATTAATTTTTTTTCTCTTCCAGCTTGTTATTCCTTCTGAAATGAAATCGGAATGTCATCAAGATCAGCCACGTGCAATTTCTATTCAGAGTTCTGAAATGATTGCCACAAATACAAGGCATTGTCCAAACTGTCGACATTCTGATCTAGAAGCTTTGTTTCAAGACTTCAAAGATTGTGATTTTTTTAGTAAAACATATACCAGCTTCCCCAAATCTTGTGACAATTTTAATCTTCTACATCCAATCTTCCAGAGACATGCTCATGAACAAGATACCAAAATGCATGAAGTTTATAAAGGAAATATTATTCCCAAATTGAATAAACATACTCTTAAAACTTCTGCTGCCATGGATGTGTGGGCTGTGTACTTTTCTCAATTTTGGATAGATTATGAAGGGATGAAAAGTGGAAAAGGACGGCCAGTAAGCTTTGTAGACTCTTTCCCTCTTTCTGTCTGGATTTGTCAACCAACAAGATATACAGAGTCACAAAAAGAGCTGCAGACTTGTGATCAAGTATCTCTAAATACATCACAAAGTGAATCTAGTGATCTGTCTGGCCGGTTGAAGCGGAAAAAGCTCCTGAAGGAGTATTATAGTACAGAGTCTGAACCCTTCACAAATGGTGGTCAGAAACCTTCATCAGATACGTTTTTAAGATTTTCCTCTTCATCATCAGAAGCAGATATTCATGTCCTTGTTCACGTTCATAAACATGTCAGTTTGCAAATCAATCACTACCAGTATCTGCTCCTGCTTTTCCTCCATGATTCACTTATTTTGCTTTTAGAGAACTTAAGGAAAGATGTAGAAGCTGTAACTGGCAATCCTGCTAATCAAACATCTGTTTGCATTGGATTTTTACTTAGAAGTGCAGAACTGGCTCTTTTGTTACATCCAGTGGATCAGGCCAACAGGATCAAGTCTCCTGTTTCTGAAAGTGTGAGTCCAGTGGTTCCTGATTATTTGCCTACTGAAAATGGAGAAGTTTTATCTTCAAAAAGGAAACAAGTTAGTGGTATAAATCGAATTAGAAGTGTAACTGTTAATCATATGTCAGACAACAGATCTATGAGTGTTGACCTTAGCCATGTCCCTTTAAAGGATCCTTTGCTTTTTAAATCAGCTAGTGATACAAATCTGCAAACAGGCATTTCTTTTCTGGACTATTTATCAGACAAACATTTAGGGAAAATAAGTGAAGATGAAAGTAGTGGACTTGTTTACAAAAGTGGCTCAGGAGAAACTGGATCAGAAATAAGCGACAAGAAGGATTCTTCTTGCAGAGATTCAAATAGTATCTTAAATAACAGAGAAGATTCAAATATGCTGTCATTTGATAATGATGGTAATCCAAACATATTTTCAAATAGTTTAACTAGTAAAGGAAATGAAACCATAGAGTCAATCTTTAAAGCTGCAAATTTGCTTCCAGAAGCATCTTCAGTCTCTGAGAACCTAGAAATCAGTAAAGAAGAGACACCCACAGTTATGACACTTAAGTCCCAGTCAT